ATTGGTTAAAATCTTAATTTTTTAAAAATTCTCACATGTTTCCAATTGTGTTCTTGAATGCAACATCCTGAAAATTTAACTTGAGTTAATTAGGCTAAATATGGATAACTTAGAAACTTAATGTGATGTATGGCTAGAAAAGTCCACTAAATGTATTTGATTATGGTTACAGTTCTAGATATGAGTTCGGAGCGAAACTGGGTTACTTAGATCTAAAAAAGGAGAAAAATCAATGGAGATTGGGCTTATGTCATACGTCATGGTGTGCACAACATTTGCTATGGTGCACGTGTGGCAACTCATAAAGGAGGGACCATTGTGTATTATGTGCTGTAATGAATGGTTGAAATTTTGCACTAGAGTTCAAAAAAGGAGAAAGAAACAAATAATGATATTTTTGATATCTGGGTAGAATACTGGGAAGCGATGGTATCATGATATCTAACATCAGCCAGCTTGGGTTTAGTGTCCGTTTAAATTTCATTAAATATAATAGATTATAAAAATAATTAATTAAGTGATAAATTTTAATCATAAGTGATTATGTTATAACGCAATCTATGTAGATACTGTTTTTATAAAATTGATTTTAATAGAATTGAAGATGTTTGGATAATTTAATCAGAATTAATTTTAACTATATAAATCACTACAAAGGACATTGCTTGTTGAAATTAAATCATTAATATATTTGTATCTCATTTTATTAAATTTGTTAAATTTTATTTAAAAAGAAAAAATATATTATTTAATTACATATTTGATTAATTACAAAAATTTAAATTATATTAATATTAACAATTTAATTTACATAAATAAATATCTCAATACTATCTTAGTTTAAATAAATTTAATAAAAAATTAATTTTTAAATATCAAACATTAATTTTTTTATTTTTTAAGCTTCTCCACAGAAGTTCAGATTCCTTTTGACAAAAATCAATGTTTGGCCCAAAAATCAATTAACTAAACAATTGGGTATTCAAATAATTTTGTGGAGAATCGATTTTTTAGGTTGAAAAATCGATCAACAAACCGTATCCAAACACACACTTGGCTTTTCCCACATCAGCCTCGTAACATTTGTCGTCGTGTCATGGAACTGAGATCCGTCTGGTGCTCAGCTCGTTCTTCCCTTCGAAGTTAGCCTCTGTCCGTCCCTGCAGCCTCAACATGTCGCCTTGTGCTCGTGGTGCTAGCCTGAGCTCATCCCTGTCTCATCTAGGCTCTCGCATGTTTATCCTGCCAATTAAAATTAATTAATTAAATTATGAAATTATGAAAACAAACATAAAACAAATAAAATAGAATTAATTAATTTACAATACTTACAATTATTTGCTGAAACTATATAAGATGGAGAATGACCATTCCTATACTTGTGAGTCTCGTTTAAAAAGGTCGCCCAAATTGATCTTTTGTCTGGTTCGGGTGGAGCAGCTTTCTCCCATAATCATCAAAACAATTAAAATAACAAAAAAATTAATGCAATATTTATTATTTAAAAAATTAATTATTCTGTTTGCCATCAAGGCATCAACATCATGAATGGATGAGTACACAAGTCACAAGGGAATGTTCACATTTTTCGAAGTCACCTCTCATAATTACGGTTGCTTTCTCAGTCGTCATTGCCGGCGGTTCTTCAAAAACTGCTACAAGGATCACCACGTCACCACCATGTAAGGTGACGTTCTGATTTCCATGCCCATGTCATCATGATTCTGCAAAACCGTGAATAGCACGGTAGCGATTTTGATAGACAACCACAGTGTCCGTTTGGTTAGGTTTCAAAATCGATTTTTTTGCCTGAAATCGATTTTAAAATAAATTATCCAAACGGCTGAAAAAAGATAAAAATTAATTCTGACACATAACGCGCGTTTTTACAGAAGATGATGGAATCAGTTTTTGTCAAAAGTTTATCAAAAAAACGTTGGAGAACGTTATAAAAGAAAGCCCACGAAAAAATTATAAATAAGCACATAATTTAATAAAAATAAAATTAAATTCTCTTCTCTTCTCTCTTTTTTTTTTAATAAATTTAAATTTTGTATCCTCAAAAATTAATGTTTGATATTTAAGAAGTAAATTATCTAGTAATTTATATAACTAAAATTAATTTTGATTAAATTATCTAAATATTTTTAATTCTGTTAAAATTAATTTTAGAAAAACAGTATCCAAACACGTTACTTTATAACATAATCAATTATGATTAAAATCTACAACTTAATTAATTATTTTTATAATCTATTATACCCAACTAAAATTTAAACGGACCCACAATCCAATTTCAAGTAATAACTATTCTCACTCTTCAAAAATATAAAATATTTTTAATTAAATTTTACTTTTTTATACAATTATTATGTACTTTTAAATTATTTCTATTTTTTATATTTATTTTATTAAATATCGTATAAGAAATATAAAATTATTATTAATAAAATACTTTTAAAAAAATAATGACTACATTTTAAAAGATTAAAAATATCTTATATTTTTAATATTTAATTTTATAAAAAATATGTTATATTTTTAAAAAGAGGGAGTAACAATTTCAATTACTCCAAAAAATAATTGATGCTGGGGAGATGTATTGTTGCAAGGATCTAGATTCTCTCATAATTCTTTCTCTCCTTTTCTTCTCGACAAAATGAATTGTCCAAATTTATTTATTTTACAAAAATAAAAATAAATTTAAATTGTTAAAATTTAACTTGTCCACTTTATAGTTGTATACTGTTATTAAACTTTTTATTTATTTTATTACATTTATAAATTATGCAAATTAAATTTTAACAATTTAAAATTATTTATTTATTTTTAATATAATATTATGATTAATGTTTTATAAAATAATTAAATTTGAGCCCTCCATATTTGACCAAAGGTAGAGATGGGGATGAGGAGAATAGAATGAGAGAAAAGATGAGGAGAGGATCTCCTTCCATTGCTGTTCTTCTTGTTTTGCGATATCCGAGCGACTGAGCCAAAAAGGTTGATAGAGAAATGAAACATATTCTAACCTCTTTTATATGCTTCATCCATTTTAAATTATATAACACTTTAAAAAAATTATCTTAAAATATAAGGTATTCTGAATAAATTAAAATTTTATTAAATACATTAATTTTAATATTATTCTTTCTCTTTTTATAATTAATTTTTATTCATTTTTTAATATATTAAATGATGGATATTTTTAAAATTTTATATTTTTATTTTGGAAAAATAAAGTTATTAAGTGTATTTAATGAGGTTTATTGGTATGTAAAATTTTATCTAAAAGTGTCTTATAATTTGAGATAAAGAAAGTAATAAAGATAATATTGTCATTATCAATTAAAGTTAATATAAATAGTAAAGATTTTTATCACTTAAATAAGTGATTGGGGATTAGAACATCAGCTCTTGTGTATATGGCAACTTAATTAGAAGATATCTGCCCTTTGTCCTTGATATCTCATCTATTAACGAAGTCTGCTCCTTGTGCTGTAGGTAAAAAGATAATATTGCCATTTGATAAAAAAAAAAACATTAATAGTAGAGAAGTCTCGAAAAAACTTCAAAGTAAGCTCTCCCCTGTTTTATATTGTAAGGAATTTTAATCAAATTATAATACCAGTGAATTAATCAACTGTCTTTAAAGTTATACACTTTTTCAACTTCACCCCTATTTAATAGGTTCTCTGAATAAGAAAACTTTATTAATTTTTTCTCTATTTAAGGGTATTTTAGGAAAATATTTTAGATAGAGGAATGTAGAGACACTCGAAGATCAAATTAAGGAATGAAATCTTAGAAAGTTTATTTATGTTTATTTTGGGTTTTTTAATGTAGTTTTCAATTAGTGTCGTTAAGTGTAGTTTTGTCTTTTTGTTAAATTATTAGGTTTATTTAGCATATGAGTAACACCCGATTAGCGCCACAAATCACTCTGAATTGAATTGAAAGATTTTGGAATAATAAGGAAAGGAATAGAAACAGAGTGGCCGCGGTGACATTTGAAAAAGAAAGAACAGAGGCGAATGCGATTTACTCTTCATCATTTTCTTTTCTTCACTTCCAGTGATGGCTTCTCATGCTCTCAAGCCTCATGTTTGGCCGATGCTGTTTGAATTTTAAAGCTATGGAGAACTAATTTATTTTGGTGTGATCAACCATAAACTATAACCCTAAGTTGTAATTAGTGTGGAAAGATTTTAATTTATTCTAACTTGCTCTTCTTTTCTCTATACCTTTAAATTTTATATTTTAATTGCTATTGTTTATTAAAGTAATTTTATTGCATGATTTTTGAGTCATATGATTTATCCGAAATTTACTTGTTCTAAATGATTGATATAGCAATATAAAGTAATTTGGCATAGCTTAGGTGATTATTCATATCTTATTTTTGGTGTAGGTAACATAAAAACAGTTGTTAGGTTATGAGTCATAGGAGATTTTAATTAATCTATAATTTTATTTTTTGTTTAATTCTTAAATGATAATTTAAGAAAAATATATAATAAAATGATAATAATAAATTTAAATAAATTTAATTTATTTTGTAAATGAGAAAAATCAAGTTTAACTGGTTGTACTTGGTAATTTGTTTCAATTGAATTTGCTTTAATTATTTATTTTTAATTTAATTTTTTTAAAATGTAAATAATGTCCGTTATTAACATTGATTCTTAAAAAAGATATAAATATAAGATGTAAAAATATCTATAAACTTTTTTTAGGAGCTTTTGTTATCCAAAAGTCAATAACAATGATGTATAGATACTCATTAATTTTATAAAAGATGCCAACCTTGATAACTTGAGCTTTCGGGTTTATTTAGATTGGACCACATTCTCACATATGCACACAACATACAAGCACATAAACCCTCGCTTTCCACATGCTCCATAAAATGATGACAGAAGAGTGAATTTCAGCTCTGTATAAAAGGCATTATGGGAACATAGGCTGTGTCATCAGTACGTACCGTCAAACTAAGCAAAATGGCTCTCAAAGTCGCATTGTCTTCTCTTCTTTTTCTACTCTCACTCATCACTCTCGTCGCAATCGCTGCCTCTGTAGGTTACTCCCTTCCACCTCTTGATCCATCATATATTATTTATTAGTTTCACCCATGACCCATCATTGTACGTAATCCTTTCTTCTACATACTTGGTTGTGTCTCTGTATCTATTAATTCCATCCTCCGGTATGTTTATAGAGCATAGAGAGGATATTTTTTGTCTTATTTATATGAAATATCATTAAATTTTTATCACAAATTTTTTCTTGTACCCTCCATTAAATATTTGAGACAAAAAATATATATATTTAATAAAGATAAAGTTAATAATTTATTAAATTTTTTAAATAGAGTTAATAAGTTTTAAGATTTTTTATTTTATAACATGTTGAAAGTGATTTATAAATAAGATCATAGAAGTATATATATATATATATATATCTACACTCTCTAGTCCAAAATATAAACATTTTCTTTCAACTAATTTTGTTCTAAAATATAAATAGCTTAGTGCTTGCAATTTTTTTTTTCATTTTACCCTTTGTATTTATTAACATACATTCTTGTGCATGTGAATTTATTATGGCCTTCTCACTCATCAATCATCATACATTACAAATAAGGATAAAAAGAAAACAATATATATATATATATATATTCATAAGAACAATGATTTTAGTATTATGCAAATTATCGTTAAAAAGTATTTATATTTTGGACAGAAGGGAGTATATATGTAAAGCCTTCTGGACATCAATATGAATTATTATTAACTAATTCACAATTTTTTAAAAAAATTGGTTAAAATCTCAATTTTCTAAAAATTCTCACATATTTTCAATCATCCTTTTGAATATTATAAATATAACATTTAACTTATTTAAAATATTTTCATTAATTACTCAATAAAATAAGGGTATAATTAAAAATATATATATATATATATATATATAAAAGTCTTATTTAATATTTTATATTTTAGATCAAATAAAGCTTCTGAAAAAACCACTTATATCATGATCAAGATGGATATGATCTGATTCTGCACGCATGCATGTAGGAGAACTGCACCTGCACGTATGCTATAAGTGTTCAAACCGAACATAAGGATCGGGCAGGAACAGAATCCAAGATTAGCCTCTGTGTAAAGGACGTTAATGTCACTATCTTTAAACCAGACAACCTTAGAGATTGGGGCATCATGGAACCTGGTCATGACTACTTTGAGAAGGGCAACCTCGACTTCTTCAAAGGCGAGCAAGTTGGCCTCCACCCTTGCCTCATCACTGTCACATCCGATGGCTCAGGGAAGAATTCAGCATGGTACTTGGATCACGTCAAAATTGCTATCGATGGCCCAACCATATCTGCTACCGTAGACTTTTTGGTGGACTGATGGCTAGCTAAACATAAAAAGCCATATGCTCTGTCTGCCACCGTCGACTTGTGCCACAGCAAGCTACCCTGAATGCCATCAGATCAGGATTCTAGAGTTTGATGATGATGTGTGACAGCATGTTTGCTTAATTCCTAAAATTTTATCAATGCGTGTTGATCTGGCTTTGTTACATTGTTGTTGTGTCCTACGTTTATCGTCCATCGTGTTGTGTAATAATGTTCCGTGCGTCATGTATAACTTCATTTCAATATAAAAGAATGTTTAATTTCTCTGTATAAAAGAATAAGTAGTCGTTGCAACTGGACAAGGAATCAATAATATAATGATTGAGAATACTAGATTATCTTACACCAATATGCAATTATTAATATTAGCTATTGATACTGATTAAGTTTGCCAACCTCATGAGTTTAAATAAATTCATTATAGGAATATAAATTTATATAGTAAATTTATAAAAATTTATCTCTACTAATTTCTTTTTATATAAGAAGTAGTCATGAATTGGATAGAGAGTAGCAACTTAGAGATTGAATATGAAAATATGAAGTAGGAAAGATTTAAATCCTTTGAAGTACATAGATACGTAAATTTCTCTAAATTTTTAAAATATTTTTCTTCATTTTATTTTTTTTGTAAAATATAAAATCTTCTTTTTTTTTAAAAAAAAAGAAGAAGTAAACTTTACAAAAATTTACAGATTTGAATTTCAAAGGATTTAAATTCAAGAAGCAGCCAGCCGCTAGAATATGGAGTCCATCTGGCCTTTGTTATGTTGCTGTTGTGTCCTACGTGTATAGTCTATCTTGTCATGTAAATAAAGTGCGGTTGTCATGTATCTCTTCATTTCAATAATAACGGGAATAATAGGCCTTTAACCGACTTTTGGTGGAAAGTAACTTTTCTCTCTCTTGGTAGTTGGCTGATCGCACTAGAACTTTCTCATGGATAATCCTAACCACCAGAAAAAACCTCCGGACAGACCCTCGGACATTCTCCGTTTAGGAAGCAAGAAAAAGACAAAGAAAGAGGAAGCCTCCCCCCAAAGTCATCGATTGGTCTATGACTGAAAATCAGGGGGTAAGCGTAACTACTATTGAAGATAAGATGCAAGACACGTCCTACAATAGTGACAAGGCTTGCTGGAAAAAGGAAAATAAGAAGCTTTGAAGCCACCAGTCTCATACCATGATTCAATGTTGGGGTTTAATGGTGTTGCAAATAACGATGCAGGAATGGAAGTAGATGAACTCTCATCTGACCTTCTGAAAAAGTCACGGACAATGCCTGAACCATTAGAGGAGGTAAAGCAAATGAAGTTATTGTACCCAGAAGTACTTATTTCCCTGTATGAATTTAATGACTGGTGTCAACCATGGAACAATGCCCTATTGCTTACTGTACTAAGAAAGAGGTTTCATGTTTACAGACTAAAGGTGGGACCCGGTTTGGGTGCTCGCCATAGTGTTAATCACTGTGGTAAAATTTAAACCATTTAAATTTTAATATGTTTGGTCAGATTTAAATGATTATTATATATTTTTATTTTTATTAAAATAAAAATTTTAAAATAATTTTAATAATTTTTTTATTTTAATATAATTTAGATTTAATTTAAAGGATCAAATTTAATATTTAAATTTTTATAATTATTATATATTAACTATCTAGATGTATTCTGTATAGTTCTTATTTAATCTGATGTTAATTTGACCTATATAAAATATATATGAATTATAAAAAATTTAATATTAAGTTGGATCCTCTAAAATAAATCTAGATCATATTAAAATAAAAAAATTAGTAAAATTATTTTAAATTGTTATATATTTTTATGTTAATAAATATAATATATAATAATGTTTTAAATCTGGACCATTCAGATCTTATTACAGTAATGAGCACCCAAACCCATTCTGAAAAAGTGTTAGAAAGTCAACTACCCAAGGTTTTCTCTCCTAATACTCTTTACAATTTATTTTTATCGACCTCATCAATATTAATATAGAAAAATATAAAAAATAAAAGTGTATAGAATTTTAAATATGTCTTTATATAATAAATTCATGAAATGATGTCATATTATTTTTTTTTATGAAGGATAATTTTTAAAATACTTTCTAAATATTATTTAAAAAGTCTCACAAAAACTTATAAATGAAATTACATAATTTTTTTAAAATATCTCTATAGATTAAATTGGAGTGAGCATACAAGAGGGGAAACTTCGACTAAAGTAGGCAAAACGAAGAGAGAGGGAGAGAGCGAGATGGGTCAGAATGTTCAGAAAGACAAGGAAAAAGCCTCGAGCAGTGGAGGCCGATAGAGGGACTCATCTCGAGGAGAAACAATTATGCACCAGTAGGAAAATAACTCTTTATTTAATGTAAATCAGATAAGGGATCGAAACTATTGAGATAAGGAATTTAATTTATTCAGATTAGGATGTTTCACATTAGATATGTTCAAAGAGATATCCTTGCCAGGAAGGCTCACTTTGACGGCAATGGAATCAACCTCTTATTTACTGCCACGCTTGACATTAGGGATATTCAACTTGTACCAATTTTAATTGGCTTGATTCTATCTCGATCATATTAGGATGGATCCCATTTCTATCCAACAATAATTAAGATAGAATTTTATAAGACAGGACGGGAAGGGGATTTACGATGGGATAGGACACAGGTTGCTCTTGAGACGTCCCAAACAGTACATATATACACATATATATTATTTATTTTAAAAATTATACATTAAATATATTAATTATAATTTCAATACATGCAATTTTTATTTAAAATTAATTTTTTATATTGATAATTTTAATGATACAGAGTAAGTAGTCTATGGTAATATTTTTTATAATATATTAATTATATTAATACAATTTATTCTCGTACTTATCTATTTAATAACTTTTATTTATATCGTATTTCTTGCTTTATTTTCAAAAGAGTCAATAGCTTAACATATCTCAACTAAAGAAAAATAATGACGTGACGTTGTGCCTATCTTATTTATTGTTGTTGATCTTATAGTCTAAAGATCACTTGTAATAGTGAGTCATCCTGATCTCATTCTGATTTCTATCAGAACAGGATAACTTTAAGGATGGGATGGAACAAGGAATAAAAATTTAGTCTCAATTATTTTTTGGGACGTGACACAAGTCAAGAGTGTCCGATCCTGTCCCATGAACACCTCACCTTATATTGAAGACAAGCATGGATTGGAACTTAGCCAATTGTCTTTTCTTTGTCAATTTTGTGTTCTAATTTCTTTTCTCAAGCTCAATACTTGCCATTATATATTAAAAAAATAAAAGTTAAGAGTTATTTTTATTTCTAAACTGTACACGGGAGGTTACAAATGCCTCCAAATTCAACTATGAGTCAATTCTGTCCTTCAACTTTAAATATTCACTCCATCATTATCCTGATATTAAAAACACTTAACATCCATTAACCATCAGTGGGTCTCACTATTTTTTAATATTTTTTATCAGGTTAAAGGTCATTTTTGCCTCTCAACTTCTATTAAAAGGGTCATTTTACCCCTTAACACAAATATTTGTAATTAAAAATTATTAAAATCTATGGGGCCACTAATTGTGAGAAAACTGTAGGGTGATAACGGAGAAAATCTTCAAAATTAAAGAATAAAATTAACTCATGATTAAATTTAGAGACATATATGCCTTTTCGTGTATATTTAAAGATAAAAATAATTTTTAATTCAGAAAATATTAATGGGCTTTTACGGTACTAACTTATCTTCTTGCGCGATCACGTTTAATTTCTTTACGTATAAGAAGTAGTCTGGTTTGACCTGGACGAGGGGTCAATAATGATTGCCAACATTGGATGAAGAGTATATATCCTCTAAGAAATTGCGTGAAAATATAAAGCGGGATTTGTGAGATTTGTGAATTTTTATGAAGTTTTTTTAATATTTTTTTCTCATTTTATTTTTTTGTAAAATATAAAAACTTTTCTTTCTTTCTTAAAAAGATAAACTCTATAGAAATTCACAAATGTCAACTATAAAGTCAAGAAAAGGATAATGCTATAGAGGTGTTTATTATGGCTACAAAGTCTTTCTTTGCCAAATAATTATTTTTATATATATATATATATATATTATTACATACATGACGGATCTCAAATATATAATATTTACGTTAACAAGCTAGCCTATTAAACTTGTAGGCTATGCTTTGTGAAAGTATGGACAGGTCAAGCTTAAATAGGGGTGAGTATTGGTTTTATATGATCAATTCGGTGTCAAATTTGCCAAAACCAATCAATTGAGTGATACATTTTAAAGACCAAACTGCACCGAACTGTATTTATCAACCGAATCATGACCGAATTGAAATAAGATGGTTTGGTTTAGTTTTCTAAGTCGATTGTTGCAAAATGCATATAAAATAATGAGACGCTGGCAAAATAAAGTGAAAATGGAATTGAAAAATGTAAGCAAAATAAGACAATGAAAGATGAGAGGAGAGGAAAAGAAGCAGCAACGAGCATCAAGCCTGCAAAATTATTGCTATTATAGCAAGTGAGAATCAACGCGATGACAAAAACCTTGAAGAGAAAGAGAAGAATAAACACAGCATAGGAGAGGGAGAGAGTAGTGACAACTAGGGAAAACTGAGAAAGTATGAGGGAGTGTTTGACTACCATGATGGTTGAAGGAGAGAATGGCAATGTGGGGAAGAAGCTTGATCGCTTGGGCGTGGAAATTGGAGGCTGAGGTGTGAGGTAGAAGATGAAAGACCTTCTCATGTTTGAGGCTTAGGTTTAATTAGATGTTTTGGGGTAATGGCTTCTTCTGGGCTTCTAGTTAATGGGGCCTTTCATTAAGTGGTATTAAATATTTTAGACTTATGGGCTTAAGGTGCTCATCTCATCTCAATATAAATTTAAAACAAAAAATAATCTTTATAAAAAACAAAAATAAATATTGTTTATTTTGGTTTGTTTAGTCTG